TGATAATGATGATAATGATAGTAATAATGATAGTGATAATGATAATGTTAATGATAATAGTAATAATAGAAATGATAATAAGAAGAACAAGAACAAGAATAAGAATGAAAAGGATAATGTTGGTGACGATAACAATACTTGCAATTATAATGATAATATTAATGATAATGGTAATACTAGTAATGATTATGATAATAATAGTAACAATTGAAATAATGACATTGATAAGGATCATGATCATGATATGGATGATGATAATAATGATGATAGGTATAAGTCTGAGTATGTTTGCTGATTGTTCATAGCCAGAAAAAATTCAATGTAGTTTTTTCTTACTTTATTCACTAAAGCTTAGTATTTAGTTCTCGTTTAAACCAATATCCATGCACCATGAGAAACAACTTTTTAAGACTATATGAAGCATTCTTGAGACAGTGCTGTATTTGCCCCTCTCTCTCTCTCTCTCTTTTTTTTTTTCTTTTTTTTTTGTCATCTGTTTTTTGGATTTATTTTTCCTGTCTGTCAGTTTCTTTCCCAAAAAAGTATATTTGTTACTTGTCTGTCTGTTTGATGAAAAAAAATTTAACTGGCCTGCTTCAGATAGTCAATTCTCTCTATGCTGCAATTTATACAACCAGTTATGATGTATTGTTTTTTATTATTTTCTCAATCTTCTGGCAAATAGTTTTATTGCATGACTATAGATAACCAATCAACTTTCATTTTTGATTTGTGACAAGTCAAAAGCCAAATAGCCCAAGAAAAGTCTTGCATTATGGAAAGTTTTTATCTTTCTGTGCTTATTTTTCCAGAAAGTGGAAGCATGGAATTGTTATAGGAATACAGTGATTGTTTTTCATTTATGCCATGCTTGTATATTATAACTCAGTTTTGATAGTGTAATTTTAGTTGACTGTATTCGTTGTTACATTTATTTTCAGAATAAAAGTATTATATAATCTTAATTCTTCACTCCATTTTATAGTTTTTGTCAAATTGGATTCAAATGACTTCATAATTTAAGACAATTTCTGACAGTAAATTGGCTGTAGCTTGAAGTCAGATTTAAACAAAACTGATTATCTAATTGACAACAGACTTTCTAAATGAAATTTCTTCTGCATTTATGATACTGTCCCCACCTTTGTTATTCTGTCCTCTATTGTTCTTTCTTGATTATTGACTTTTAGTGTGAATCTTGTCTAGAATACGACTATCTCTTAATGTTGTTTGTTTTAGTCTCATGTACATTGTTTTTCTTTTTCTTTCCGACATATTTATAACTTGATCTTGATATATTCATATGATATTCTTTTCTTGACTTTTACTGTTTTTAAGTATTGTAAGAATAGCATGTTGAATTTCTTACCTTCACTTTCTCAGAAATTTTGAATACATATCACCATTATCAATATTCACACATTTACTGCTGAATGAAGCTGCAAGTTGTTAATGGTTATTCTTTCATATTTCTAAGTTTTAAGTAGTATTGCAAAATTTGAAATAAAAGTGTGACATGTGAGTGTTATTGCCGGGCACAGCCGGTTGCGTGCTGCCTCAGCTTGGTGGTGAGGAAGGTGTGGACGCCTCCAGTGACTCAGCAGTATCCTCCCTCAGTCCTGATGAAACCTGGGGCACAGTGGACCACACTACACGACCCCAAGGTACACACACACTTTGGCCACACATCCTCATCACTTAGGATATCACCTTCAGCCATTGCCAGAGGAGAACTGGAAGCAGTTTTCCAAATGTCCAACATATTCAGGATCTTGGCCATCTGTCTTTCCATTGTTCTTCAAGCTTACATTTACAGTACTGCTTTTACATAAGAGAGGATTTTTTAACTTTACTTACAGAAGACATTACATTATGAATATTTTTGAAGATCTGTAATAATCTTTGCATTAGCAGTTGTAGGAGACAAGAATTCATTACAGATAGCAGCTTTTGATACTAAACATGTAAATTGACAGATGATGACCATTACATCACAATCATCAGACCATTTCAGACGTTTTCATTTGAGAAAGTTTCGTATCTTGACATCTTGCATTACATTTCACCTAATGCTTTTTAGTGTTTGAAATTATATCAGAATTGTACTGACATATCACTTGTCTAGTAGAATGAAGATAATTTTATAGATTTTAAAGCCACCTTCTCTGATTCCTTTGAAGTAGTTATAGTTTAAAATAGTTGATTATGCATGAAGATATAATGGGTGATGGTAGAGTAGAATCCAGCTATGGTGGAATTCTCTTAATAAAGTTCAGTTCTATGCTTTGTAATAAATTTTATTAAATAAAAGATATACAAACACTGAAATTCCAAAAATCTTAAATGTTTTAATGCAAAATGGTGGTCTCTAGACAATGGCAGTCGAAACCAGAGTGGAGACTACAGTGCAGGAAGCTATCGCTATGGACCTGAGGATCCTCACAGAATGCCACCAGTACCATTGAAAAAGCAACACATGTTTGGCAGAGACAAGAGATACTTTCATGATAACCTACAAGGTGAGTCAGTGAAGTAACATAGAAGAAGTATGGTGTTTGAACAGGAAGTATACTTTCTTTAGTTTAGGTTTACATGAAATAGTAGACTTGCTGGTATGATGCATATGATTTGATAGCCTTCCTGGTATGCTAAATGATATGTTGTTCTATTACAATATTTCTTTAGTTTCTTGTTTACACAAAAGGAGGGAAGATATCAAAGGCTAAATTAAGTTTTTACAAGATACTCCAAATACCCCTTGAAAATACAAATCATATACAAATCATATGCAAGTGTCTTTCAGCCTAAGAATTTACTTTTCATTTTCCTTGTATGATAGGGGAACCATCATTGTATGACATTTATAGAAATTTGAATTACTAGTGTTATAGATGTTATGATGAATAGTTCAACAAAAATTGAGCTAAAGTGATTTATAAGAAGACTCCCTTTCCAGCATTTTATGGCAGAATCTGATTCCTAACTTTAGTATGAAACAGTAGCTGAGAATTATTTTGCATGACTGATATATTAAACATTATATTTCTTTCAAAACCAGGAGCAACTGGTGGCATGGGAGGTGGCAGCAGTGCAGGTGTTGGAGATGTTGGAGGCTATGGAGGCCATTACCCTCCACCTGGCATCCAAACCATGGAGGGAGCCACTGCCTTGGATCCTGCCGAGATGAAGTATTCTTGCACAATGGACTTCCGTTCCCAAGGAGGTGAGTAGCACAGCACAGCAGTTCTTGTATCTTCTTTTTTTCTTTTTTCTTCTTTTTTTTCTTATCCCCTCTCTTTTTTCATTTTTTATGCCGAAGTCATATAGAATAACCTATTTCTGAATATCAGGATGCTGTGAAGTGAGGAATGCTTATCATTGTGATGGAGAAAAAGGATTACAACATGATTGGGTATAGTGAAGATGAAAAATTAGGAATATTTTTCATATCCCAGAGATACATGAGAAAGAGTGGACTGAATCCTAAAATTTTGTTGCCCAAAGCACGGAAGAGATTGTGGCTATTTGGTCAAAATGTGTATATAATCCTTGATACTACTACAAGACAGATGTGAAGGACTATAAATTTGTTTTCAAAAGCAGCTGTATCATCTTCATATATCACATGCATTGTAAATTCAAAAGGACGTATATATGTAGGCTGATTTTTGAAATGTGAAAACAAAAGTTTCTGTATAAAATGCAAAATTATTGTCACAAAAGGAAGTATTTCATTATGATAAAGAGAGATATTTCAAGTGAATTTATGAAAAAAATATTCATTTTTAAGAAATAAAGGAATATACATAGTCTGCTCATTTGCACACTATTAAAATGCTGCTTATAGGAAATACCTGTCAGGGATTAAAGGAAAATTTTTGACATATACTATTTAGTTTAAAGTAGATCTATGATCAAAATAGCAATAACAATAGTGGAAAAGTTCCAAAAAGTTCAAGGCCTTCGAACGAAACCGGTGGATGTAGGTGCCATACTGCCCGCACATAATTCAAAACCCAGCATTAGGCTTGCTTGAGTGGCAACTCTCCCAGATGTGTGGCTTGTAGGCCTGATCTACATAAACACTCAGTTTGCAGTGTCAAGACTCTTTGCCTCCCCTTTGCTGTGTTATTATCTCTGATACTGCATAAGTGTTTTGCTTTATTGCCATTTCCAAGGTCTATATTTGTCACTTGGTATGTTGTATCAAGATAGTAATAGACTGCTTCCCTTGCACAGACTCCATATTAGCTCTTCATAGTTCTGTGTAATAACAATAACAATAAGTAACATTTTGTTATTTGTCTTATTTTCAATATTTTTATATTATTCAGTTCTCTCTAACACACCCTGCGCCACCTGTCACAGCAGGCAGGAATAGGATCCTGAGCATAATAATAGTCATCTCCCTGGAGCCTGTGCTCTTCCGGCCATGGCTTCCAGAAAGTACTTTCATACACTTGTTTCACAGTGGAAATAATGCCCCTTCCTAAATGCCCATGGAGTTTAACCTTCCTCGAAGAGCTTTGTGCACTCATGGCAGGTCATTCCTGTCAACCCAGCCTTCAGCCAAATTTTTCACAAAGGTATATTCCAGTCGCCTTGGCCCTTAGCACAATATTTCCATGATGACATATGCCATTACCCTGCTCACAGCCGTAGTTTTTCATGTGATGTTCACATCACCTAGATCCAGTGGGTTAAGGGGATCCTGTCTCTTTGAAAATGCCAGAAATTGACATTTTGGGCATTTTGAAATGTAGGCATTGTCTTATATCAACTACCCAGGAACATTTTTTTGTATGCTCAAGAATCCTTTTGAACTTATTGGGGAGGTTTTATTCCTGTGAACCTCTCACCCCTCCACCCCACCCAGATCACAATATAGTTATTGAATAGAGTGTATAAATGCTTAGATGATGGGCCAGCAGATGTCACACCATGCTTTGTCAGCCATGCAAATATTAACTCAGCTTCCATACTGTGGTTATTATATATTTATAAAAATATTGATAGGTATATTATACAAATATTATTCCACTGCACTGATTGTTTTATTTTGTTGTCATATAACTGAGAAATTGTAGAAATATATATAAGAGACAATATGTTAATGTTGAAAGTATCTAATATTTAATCTTTTATTCTACCTGGAAGAGGTCATGTTATGATCAGAAAAACACTGGGAGTAGTACCCTAGCCTTGTTTTGTTTGAGTTCAGCTTAATATATATATATTTTTTTCTTCTTCTTCTTTTTTTTACAAAAATTAGAAATTTGGAGGTTGTCCTAACATAAAACAAACACAAAAAATAGGATGAAAAATAAAGATATTAAGATGGGTGTATCTGGCACACACCTTTTAGGAATAAAATGAAATCAGTCCTACTTCCTTATCAAAAAAATGATGGCCTTGCAGTAATTAAAGATTAATGAATTGATTTTCAAAAGAAATCAAACTTAGAGATCTACATCATTTAAGAATAAAAGTTATTAATGTTTGAAATAGCTCCTCCTCCTAAAAAAATGTCTACAAGATTCATTCCATATTTTTGAAGAGACAACTAAGATCATAAGATTGGAGTTATATTGATATGTGCACCTGTCAAAAATTATTCAACACCAGATGGAGAAATCAAATCTTTAAGAGGGACTGTAGATGCACAGAATCTAATCTATAAGAAAAGTCATAAATATAAAGGTAGAAAGGGCTGGAAAATTTGACCATTGTAGCCAGAAAGGAATGGTTAAAAGAGAAAAGTTGCCTGTAAGGGAAAGGATAAAGAGAAAATAAATGAAGTTGTATATATATATATAATATATATATATATATATATATATATATATATATATATATAATATATATATATATATATATATATATATATGGTAGAAAATTAAAAGGTAACCAAGGCATCAAAGAAAGTTCAGTAGAAGGGCACAGGGGGAGGAACAACTGAGTGATAAGGATACATGGAAGCTGAAGTAGTGATTTACAGGAAATAGCAATCATACATTACTCAGAATAGGAAGAGGCTAGTTTAGAAAATAGTTCTTTAGAATATACCGGTGTAATTCAGGATCAGCAAATTAGCTTTCCAAGAAATCCAAAATCTTGAAATTTATGTCAGGGATATAAAAAACAATAATTCCAAAAGACCATCTAGAAATTGATGGTTTTAATATCTTTAACCTAGAAGTTATAAATTTTATTTTTCACCTATGCTTGCACTTGCAGTGTAAATAAGTTTTTACCACTACTGTAACTAGGTTTTGCATTACATACATAATGTTGAACTTTTTTTCTTCTTCTTTTTCTTTTCTTTTCTTTTTTTTTCTTTTTATTAGATTTGTAACTTTCATATTGTATGGAATGATACAGCCATGATTAAGTTGATAGAGGAAACCTCTTAGACTTGATGAAAAAAAATGTGAACCAAGTCTCCTCTGCAGAGTTAAAATTTTGTGTACATATTTAGTATTGCCTATGTGCATTTATTTACAAAGTTATGGGTTCATCACAAAGCTCAAATTTCACAGCAACTTTCAGAACTATGAGCAAATCAGAACACAAACAAAGTGCAACTTTCTTTTTTGGTGCAGTAATTGACAATTTTATGAAGGAAAGAGTTACCCTGAGAAAAATTAATGAATAAATGAAAAAAAACTAGTTAATTGCCTGAATTTGAAGTGAAAATAAACGGCAGACATCCCCATCAGTATTTCTAGCCTAAAAAAAAAATAATAAAAAAAAATAATAATAGAAAAAAATAAAGATAAATAAATAAATAAATAAACAAAGAATATATGGTGGGGGTCAAACTACAACAAAAATCAGTATAATAATGAATTGATCCTTAATGGAAAGGAAATGTATTATATTGTTGAAAATATCAGAAAGTCTTTGATTATTATTATAGTTTGTCTGTTAGGCTGCCTTATCATCTTATCAACTAGGGAAAACTGACATCCATTTCTTTAACATACTTTACTTACAACAAGCTAAAACACATGCCTTATTATTGGGTAATAGTACTTTGAAAGTAGATATTACACTTATCATCTCTTATGAGGATATTTCTTAATCCGGAAAATAAAGACATTATTTGTGGATCCTTAGAATAGGTGCAATTGATTTTTCAACATTTTATATTGTTAATGTGAAGTGATATTTAGCACTGGCATTCATAAAGTGTTTGAGTTACTGAGAAGCATACCTCTACTGCATTACACATGGATGTAAGAAACAAATATTCCATATTTGGACATCTGTGTGCATGGGGGTGGTCTGTTTAATTGATCTAGTACATGGATAAGTACATAATCACTTAATGTTTATTAGAAATACTTGATAGACTGATCTTTGATAATATATTTAAAAGAAATTTAAGATACTTTAAACAGGACTGCATACTTTCATCAACTATTAACAGTACCATTTGTTAGTGCTTGCTTTTATTCTTATCCTGTCATCAAATTGGACCACAAATGTACTGCAGTTTTCCTTGATATCTGTCAATCATTTTTCTTCTTCACCCAATTTACTGTTACATCAAGCAGCATAAAACCTTTGTGTATATACAACAGAATTGCAGAATTTACTCAGTAAATGGATGGAATGTTCAGCTTCCTCTGTTAATTCTGATCGGCCCAATGTCATATCATATTTGCATTGTAGCTTTTGTACTGAAAATGAAACAAGAAAACATCTCTCATTTTCTGTTGACTTGGAATACTGGTAGGAGGGGATCATGGAACTGGATGCTGCTTTCTCATGGGGAAAGTAATTTTCATGTTATATATTTAATGATGTATAGATTGTTGTGTTCCCCAAATTTATGGCTTGGTAGAATGCAGAAATATTACTAACTTCTAGGGTTTCCTGTGCAATTAAAGTACTGTTTATTTTGTATTTGTGCTAGTACCAAACAGTAGCTATCATGAAAGCTGAATTTAATCACATTTTGAAGGGGAGATTCTAGCTTATGATCTTAAAATTAACACACATTTTGAAAATTACTAGCACTAATACAATTTAGATTCTGATTTTATGGGAAGCAGTATTACATTTCCTTTCTGTCAATGTATTTTTACTCTGCACTTTGCTTATTTGCAACATGGGAACACACAAAAGAGTAATTTGATATTTCTTCACCCGTCAAGCAACGTTTGATGTGTTTACTCTTTAAGCATATATAACTTTTTCACGAAAAACATAGATTGG